CTTCTTTAACTCAATCTCTCCTAATAATTATATGCTTGGATACCCCATATCCATCAATAATTTTAACAAAATGAAAATTTGAGGTGGATCTAGGCTTAGGTTGACCCATAAAATTGAAGAGGAATTTAGTTTTCTAATTTAACTCTTCCACTTCCTCAATTTACACGACTTGTGGGCTTGTGGCATGTGCATTTTTTTCTACACTCAACGTATTGTCATCAGGGCCGGCTTTGGGGCCAGTCAGCCTAGGCATTTGCCTAGGGCCTCACATTAGGGGAGGGCCTCAAAAAACAAAGTACTCCATATGCAAATTTAATTTTGGAATTTAGTTACTAGAATTGGAAGTTGGAAGGCCGAAGCAGAAATGTAGATACGATTCCTAAACTTTAGACCATCGATATCCAGCAATAGAAAAGAACTCAAGAACGCGAACGAGAGCTTGTTTGCGAGGGATTATATTTCTTCGTGCGAGAAGGTTACAGACGTGAGTTCCTTTGTAGCTGGAGGGTTTTTTAAGTGGGATTGTGGGGGATTTAGGATGTTTGAGCGGCTGTGTGAAGAAGGCGGTATGAATTGGGGAAGGGGGGGGGGGGTCGCCGGGTCGGTGATGAAGAACTGGGTTCATGAGAGTGGTTGAACAGTGCTGTCCAAGCAAGAGGTCTAGATGTCTAAATACTGTCCAAGCAAGAGGTCAAGGATTTTAACTTTTTAGTATTTGAGTTAAATACTTGAGTTAAATACTTTTTAGTATTTGAGTTAAATACTTTTTAGTATTTGAGTTAAATACTTTTTAGTATTTGAGTTAAATACTTAGTTTCTAAATGCCTAAATATTAAATACCGAGTACAAGTGTGTAATTAGTGTGATTGCATTCATCCCACTAAATTAGATATTTTATTTTATTTTATTTGTGAGTGCATTTAGAAAATTTAAGTTTTGAATTAATTTGTTTGTGCATTTCGTATTATCTATAAATATGTTGGTATAAAATTTGAGTCGGGAGGTCTGAAGAGAAAAAATTAGATGAGAAGAGATTATTTACAATCACTTGTTAGCTCTATAGACTGATATGAAAAAACAATTTCTTCTATTTTTTAAAAAATGTTAGCTAGTCTTGATTAGTGATGGTGGTATAAATTTTGCACTTTAAGATATTTGCGTATTAAAAAGTACATTTTGTAATGCATTTTGTGTATGTTACATTTATAGCCTGTTTGGTATCGATGTTTTTCGGCTTATCAAGTTTATCAACCTTTTTTTCACCAAACACGTAATTTTTGATTTGGCGCGCTAAATTGTGTAAAAATAAGAAAATGTAAGATTGAAATTACTTTTCTGGCTGTATTGGCTGAAGTTACTGCAGATAACCATTTTAGCTATTTTCTCATATAACTTTTTCTTTATTATATTAACAAAATATATTTTAAATATAATTTTTTCACAAATTAGCAGAATCAGCCAATACAACCACTTTAACCAGAACTTTATAAATTTAAGCAAAGTCAGCCGATTCAACCAATTTCAGTGTTACCAAATGTGCTCTCAAAATTTTATTGTTTGATTTGAAATTCACAATATATGATGAATTTGTATTTATTCTTTCTTATTTATTTTCTCTTTTTTTCAGATATAAAAATTAAAACTTTTCGCAGAGGACCTCCAAAACGCCGGAGACGACCCTGATTGTCATCCCTCTCTAAGCCTCTAGGGAGTAGAGTGGTTGCAAATGTGTACGCTCTCATACACTGATACACACTCATTTAAGTTATTAATAAAAAGTTTAGGGTAAGACTTTTTTGTTGAAATGATTTAAACAAAAGAATTGACATGTAGACCTTTTTTAGATACCCCACTTTAGTTTTTATTTTGAATTAAATTTAGTTTAAAATATACCTAGTATTCGAAATGATATACTCCTCTTAGTAGATGGGAAGATATAAGATCTCAGCAAATGGGTTTGTAATACTATAGTACTATGTATGTGTATCGAATCGTTTAATCTCCTATCGAATCGTTTAATCTCCTCTTAGGGGTGTTTGGAAATGATTTTGCTTCTGTTTCTTTTTTAAAGCAGAAGCAGAATCAGAATCAGTTTCTAAAAAAACTGATTCTGAGAGTAAATTAGAGCACCAGAAGTGCTTCTGGAATTTCACCTAAATACTCCAGCTTCTGCTCCTTGAAGGAGTAGAATCAGATCCAAACACTCCCTTAGTCCTATATTGAATATCTCCATTCACACCACCCTTGGTCAGTCGACTCAGTCCAGATTTAGGACCCAATTGATCTAGGTGTTAGTTGGTCTTGTAATCTTTAACTATTCGTTTACCACTATTTGAGGAAAACGAAGTGTGGAGTTTTTCATTTTTATTAAAAAAAATCAAGATCTTCAAGTGGATTAATTACTTTAGGGAAAGTTCCCGAAATAGGACTAAAATAGTTTGAAAATTCCGAAATAGGACTGCCAAGTTTTTTATTCCCAAAATAGGAGTAATTACTGCCATGTTTGGAAAATATTGTCATGTTTGAAGTCTGGTACTACCAAAACATGACAGTAATTAGTCCTATTTTAGGAATAAAAACATGACAGTCATATTTTGGAATTTTCAAACCTTTTTAGTCTTATTTTGGGTAATATCTCATTACCTTTATTATCCTTGAGCAAAAGCCTTGACCTCCCCATCTAGTGTCGATATTTCTTACTCAACTAGTGTTACCAAGGAGTCACTTTTAAAGATTACTCCATACAAAATGAGAGATTTTTCTATGTTTCTTTCCAATACTGACTCTGAGGTATCTTTATAATGATAGGAATATCTTCAAGGATAATTTCAAAATTCTTTATATTAATCTAGTGTTCTTCTTGCAATGTGTCTAAGCGAGAATAACGATCCAATCCACGAGTATAGAAGTATAGAACACCCCACACACTATTCTTCAACTAGCCATAAAGCTTTCTCATTCCTACCCTCATTGGTGGTGTGCACATTAGCCAAGGCGGGCTCCAGCCAGCATTATGGCCGTAGTTACTCCAATATTTCCTTTGACATCGAGAAAATTGACATGAGAAAATTGATCTTAATTGATTTTTTTAAAATAATGAATTGATCTCCTTTTTTGTTTGGCTAATCACATAAGAAAATTTCAACTAAGGATAAATTCAATTTGACATGAGATAATTGATTTTATTTGAATTTTTTAATATATAAATTGATCTCCTTTCTTTAATTTCACATTTATTCATTGTTTCTGGTGTAATTGATTTTTTTTGTCGGAAATATAGCATCCAACTGCTCCCTTACTTGGGATGTTTTCTTTTAGACTGTTTTCAGTCCCAGACCAGACCAAACCAGATCAGACCAGACTTTTGTAATTATAAAATACAAACAAACCAAACATTTAACAGACCATCAAATTTCAGCCCCAAAGAAAACATCCTTATCTTTCTTGTATGGACCTCTTCAGCCTTTAGCCTGACCAGTTTTAAATATTTTGATATAGTCTAATATTTTGATGTAGTCTAATCTTATCTAATTTGGCATGATAGAGTATGAGTGTTAATTTATCATATTGGATTTCTACTTTAAATTATAACCCCTGTCTTGATCAAATGATCTGAAGAATTCTGATTTGAAGAATTCTGATTTGAAGAATTCTGAAGCGGTGCGGCGGTGCGATATCGACCTTTATTTTTAATCTTAATAAAGGCGAAAAAAACATTAATCCACAACTCGTAAGCTGCCGTGAATATCTTAACAGTGTTAACAAATCATCAACCACTGTTAATTTTCCAATCAAGAAGTGCCAATAGATCACACTATGCGCGGGAGCAGGGCCGTCCATAGATGGGAGGCACCTAGGCAAATGCCTATGACACCATCAATTCATGGGGCACCATTAAGAACTTGGTCTTTTAGTTCTACGTATAATAATAGAAATAACTTGTTCAATTATCAGTTCTACGTAAAATAATATAATACAACGTACTAATTAAAATGTCCACTTAGAAGTTTGGACTAGATAAAATAGTGCAACTCATTTAATGATGATTAATACTCCGTAATTCTCTAATATTGAACATACTATACTAAAAATTACTCAAGTAGAATAATACGGTAATACGCAATAGTTAGGATGAAATAGTATTAGTTAGGACTCTAAGTGACCATTATCAGAAAATTTTTCAGCTTATCAGCCCACTTTTCCACCAAACACATAATTTTTGATTTGGCGCGCTGAATTGCGAAATAATAGGAAAAAGTAAATCCCGAGTTACTTTTCTGGCTGTATTGGCTGAAGATACTGTAGAGAACTGTTTTGGTTATTTTTACACATATTTTTGAAATATAATTTTTTAATGTATCAGCAGAATCACCCAATTCAGCCAGACTTTCATACATTTCAGCAGAATCAGCTGATTCAACCGATTTTGGTAATGCCAAATGGGTTCTAAGCCTCGCACAATTCCAAAATCTAAGTAAAAAATGACAATCTTCACAATATCAATCGGGAATCAGGCTAACTGTTATTACAAAGATTGAAGATTATAGGTCATTTGTTGAATTTACCATGTTTTCCAAAAGTTTTTTTTCAGTTTCGAAAACGAAAGACCCTCAATACTGAAGTTAGAGATATCTCGAGTGTGATAGGGAGTAATAAATTTACTTTAATTCAATTTCATGGTAAGTATCCTTTAGCAAAACATAGCGTTTTATATTAATTCAACTTTATATTGAATGAATTAGATTTGAAATATTAAATTCAAAAATTATAAATCTAATTTTTAATGTAAAATTTTAAGCAATTACTCTCTAAATGATATTACCTCCATCCCATTTATATTGTCCCGGAAGAGGGTGACACGATTATTAAGAAAAGTGAGCTTGTGTGATTGATATTAATTGATAAAGTAAGAATAAATTAAGAATGATTTAAAGTCACACAAACTTTGTCAAATATGGTATGTGACAATTTAAGTGGGACTTCCCGAAAAGGTAAAACGAGACAATATAAATGGGACGGAGGGAGTATCTTATGTCCAACAATTTTCACTAATATGAAGATATATTTTAGTTTATGCCTAGGGCCCAAAAAGTTCTAGAGACGGCCCTGCGCGGGAGAGTTAGATTTAGCAGTGGAAAACCAATCTCAAAGTGTTAAAGTAGACAGACTCTACAATGATGACAAAGGGTAAAAGCAAACGCTAATGATGACAGACTCTACAATGATGACAAAGGGTAAAAGCAAACGCTAATGAATTTGCAACTCAGGGAGAAGGAAACGGGCTCTCTTCTCCTCATAAGAATAGTCAACACAGTCATCATCAGCAAACGGAGTAGCAGCAGCCGGAGTGATGGCGGTCTGCATGGCAGTAGATGCTGCTGAAGCAGGCGTGGACGGGGTCGGGATCGGAATCATCTTCTTCGGGGTTGTGTTCCCCCATCCAATAACATTTTTTACTGGAGTGGTCATCAATGAAGCCGGTGGCGTTTCTTGGAGCTCCTCACCAGTTTTTGCCACTATTACATTGGGAGAGTTGGTGTTGAATGAGAGTGAAGATATAGGTGAAAGTGGTTTCCTCTGTGGATTCGTTTTGTAGCAAGATTGCTGCTGTCTTGCATGTATTGAACTCTCTCTCTTGCCTGCATTTTAAATAAACAAATTTATTTAGTAGGATTTCATAAAATCACAACCATAATGAAAGAAATGCAGGTTTAGCATCCGGACACCAACACCTTGTTTGATACTAAACTTCAAAGTAACGCAATGGAAAGGCGGTAGAAAGAGGCAGGACATTTGAGAAAAAAATGATATTCTTCAATGTTATGTTTTATTAGAAGTGTTTGAAAAGTGTTTCTAAAGGTTATAGTCTATTATCATATTTGAAACATTATTATAGAACGAACAATACTAATTTTTTATTCCACACACAAAATGTTACAAATATGTTCATCATAACCGTAACTATATGATTGCTTTTCTGGCTGATGTTTATTATAAATATGAAATGAAACTTATAGCCTTGTTTTAAATATCCTTCTCTATAAAACCAACATCCACTTTCCCAAGTACACTCCAGGATTTTAAACGGTTGTACCTTTTCAAAGGTGAACAATTGTATTATGCTATACTCGATTTTTGGGGATGGAGCTGATGAAATATTATATACCCTAATCCTTACTAAGATCAGAAACATAAAGTAATAGTGTCCGTATTGTGATCATGATTGACTAATTAGAGCAATTTTAAAAATGACTAATTAGAGCAAGTTTAGGAGAGTCCATATCTCCCCTAGTTCTCCCTTTTTCTCCAGCCAAATGTGTCACTTCTCCTCTCCCTCCCCTCCCCTCCCTTTCTAAATTCTCCAACCAAACAAGCGCTTAAATGCTTGTAAGCACTGAATGCACTCAAATGAAATATGAGCATACTGAATGAAAAGCAATACGAAATGAAGAATCTTCAAAAAGGTATATAAATGAAGTTACCAGAGGAGAGGGCGACATAGTTTTGTGTAACGTTGGGTAGAGCTTGCGGCTTCAAAGGGTTCTTTTTCTTCAGGGTGTGAGAAGACTGTGCTGCCCTCTCAGCATATGGTGTTTGGAGCATCACCCCTCCCATTGAGTATCTCTTATTATTGCTCCCACCCCCAACTAAATTCTTTTTCGCACTCTGTGATGGACTACGCTTTGCCCCAAACAGTGCTTCCTGCTCTGCAATCAGTTGCCCCTGAAGTTTCTTCTGATCCTAGAATGCATTAAAAAAAACAGAAATGGGAATCTGGGGGTTGGAGGTGGGATAGGCGTGGGAATTATTACAGTTGAGTAATTAATTGATATTCCCCTCGTTTGGAATTACTACAGTTGCTAATACTTTAGCAATTTAACTTTATCCCCTCTTATTTACCATCGACTCCCTGTCACTCTTTCAGTCTGAAATGGGATTCTCTACTCCGCACATGCCTCATTTTACTCTCATTCCAATCATGTCTTGATTCATTTGGGATTAAAATTTGCGAATATCACCCTCAAACTTCTCACAAGGGTCTCTTTCAAACTCGGAAAATGTTTTACTCAGAAAAACTTAAGAATGTTTGAAAAATAAGAAGAAATACTTTGTTTAGTTATGTTCCGTAAATACTAGGAACTAGGAAATCTGAACTCAAGTAATAAAATTGAAAACATTTGTTACATTTCATTTTATGTGTTTTTAGAAGGTAAAACCAAACACATGGAAATACTCTAACGTTTTTTAGCATCTTATGATATTTCCCTAATCTTGTGAAATCTTCCGGGATTCAAACATAGCCTTGGTGAAATCTTCACAGCACGTACTCTATCACAACAAATCAGTACAATCCAAAATAAAACGCATACCCTCTGCCTTTGACGTTCTAACTCTTTCTCTTCCTTTACAAGACCATATTGTTCCAGCATAGACAGAAGGCTAACCTGGATAGAAAATAAGCAGTGTGTTATTAATGTAGAAGTAAAAATAATCTCAATGCGTGAAAAGATATGAAGTATGACAAAGCAAAAAAGACTTCCATGAATTCATAATCTTCTCTCTAACAAGTTCTTAATAAAAATGCTTACTCCGTCGTACAAGAATGCATTTCCTCTTTCTCTCTCCCAGCTTTTAGCTTTTGAAGCCAATGCTTCCAACATTCCTGTTATTAGAATAGATCAATACTAAATACATACACTGATACACTGTTCGTCTTTCACTAGAGACTAGTGAATTACTATGGAGTATATGTTTAGTGAAACTGTGAAATAGTGACTTTATATATAAATTTTCATTTTCACTTTCTATGCAACCATTTTAATGCAAGGATAGATTGCATTGTGTTATAAGAATAGATTAATTTTTATTTTGAATAAGAACAAATTACATAAACAGGTTCATCTTCAGCTTCTTTCCCACCACTCAAAGGTAAGGATAATTTACTTCAATAGATATTACTTATCCGCTTCCCTCTCATATGAAATTCCAAAGAACATATGTTTCCTACAAGGAGATAGTTTTTGCACCAGGAATTTTGTTGACAAGCGCTCGGGCTTTCTCAGCCCGCTTCAGAACGAGATGTGTGCCTCTTCCACTATTGTACCGATTGTTATCCTAAAGCAAAACACATAGTTAGAATCAGAAGCATTTTGTGTAGAATATGTATACCATTAATCATTAATAATTCAAAAAACATTAAATGGCCAAACCCTGTTGTACTCCTCCAACCATGATTCCTCTTCACATGCAGCTAACCACTTTTCGACCTTCTCAAGTATCTCTCTCCTGCTAAAAGCTTCTTCTTTTAGCTTGGAAATCTGGATCTCTATTTGTTCAAGTAGGAGTGAAGGATCAATTGTCCCTAAAAATGACAATGGGATATAAATGAGATATCAGCAGGCAGAAACTAAAAACAAGAATCTATCTTTAAAAGGTACGAAAGCTTTTATCCACTAAGCTTAAATTCTTAAACCAAACTTTTGAAACAGACTCCAGTTTTATGATTTCATTATATCAAAAAATACATTTATTGCAATATCCTTGGAATACATCAAAGAATAAAAATATTTTACCAGATTCTATAGTTTCAAGTGAGAACTGAGTTGAATGATCAGCATCAAGAACTATGTGGGCTTTTCTGCACAATTCCTCCAATGCAGACCTCTTTTTCAAGAGAACTTCCTTCAATTTGCTTGACTTCATTTCTTTCAGCCTTGCCACCTCAAGTTCTGCCTGCAAGAACATGTCAAAGCATTGTTAAAGAATACTCTTCAAGTTTATCCAAGGTAAAATAGGAAAAATAAACAGGCAAATCTAGCCTAGGAAGCAGTTTCAATACATAAATAATGTGCCGTAGGAGCAACTCTTAAAGTACTTACAGACTTGAGAAATTGTAAAGAGAGAGCGTTTGGCTCAGTTAATTCACTTTCTGAAGCAGCTATAGTCCGCGTGACACTGTGAAATGGCTGTTGTTCCTCCACTGGTGTGTCCATCAAATTCCACAGCTCTACCATTGTGGTTGCGAAATCTTGAATCTGAGAGAACAACAAAGTATGAGCTTGAGAGCTCATAAAAGATTCTAGGCATGGAAATAGACACAATTACATGTATACTAACCATATTCAGCCGTTGCACTTTCACCTCTCGCAGTTTGCTTATAACAGCAGATAACCTATCAATTGTCTCTGTACTTACACTTTTCAAGGCAGATGAGCCATCCAAAGTAGGATGGATCTCCACAGCAGTATTTCTAAAATCAATACCAAGCACAACACATAGTGATTTGAGAGATTCCAAGAGGTCAAGTACTTGCTCCAAGCGATCATTCTAAAAGAAGTTCAGTAGATACAGTTAGAGACCAGAAGACCTATATTAAGTGATAAATTTCCCTCTTACATATTACTTTTTCATTTTAATCACATCTTGAATGATAATCGCATTCATTAATGCACCTCAAATTATTAGGGGATATTCCGCAGTCCGCACAGTAGAGACCTAATATTATACTTCGTATGTCTTAGTCAATGCAATGCATGCCAGTGTGGTTGAACTGTTCAGGAAAATTATGAATGAAAAAAAGAGCCAGATGGAACCTTTGCTGCTTGAAGTGAAAGCAAGTGACCCTTCATCTCTTCAAGTCTCCGCAAGGACATATCGCTTTCATCCATACCAATCATTTTTGGAAATTCCTGTCTTGACTGACCAAGCTCCTTCAAGATGATGTCTATTTGATTGATAATATTTTTGAACTCACGCTCCCTTTCCAATTTCCTTTGCTTCATCTCTTGCAGCTGAGGCATAATGGCCTCAAGCTCCATCTTCAAGCTGCTTGATTTCTGTCCAGATAGGAATGGTCATACATAGTCAAAGTCCCACACCATCAGAAACAAGATTAAGTTAAATAATACAAAAAAAACTCAACAACAACATAATACTGACACTAACCGCTCTGGTATTGACTGGCTGCTCCCCTAGCGCTGCACATATTCGTGCAAGTTCTGCTTCAGATTCGGCAACTGCTTGCCGTAGCTGAGCACAGTTGCGACTTGCCTGGTCAACTTTTCTTCTATAGGCGTTCAAACACTCCTGCTCAAGTTGATAAAGCATCTTGTCCCTTTCAACCTCATTCTCTCCAATATCATCCCACAATTTCTGGTTCCATTAAAACAATTTGAACGTAAATTTTAGGAAAAGAACACACAATGAGAACTGCTAATTATTGATAATTTGATACTACATATAAATAATAACAAATGGACATACAAAAGTTATATTTCCTAATTCATGAAAAAAAATGATGGAATAGCAATTAAAGCTTCAAGTAAACCTTCAGATCGGACATCAGAGATCCACAAGTGGTTTCCATATGCGAAGGCTGACTGTTCTGGGGGTTATTCACGTAAGGAGCAACTACCTCTACATGCGCATAATAACATAGAATGTCAAAGTAAAGCTAAACGAGACAGAAACATAAAATAATTTACTCTATAACTAGTAGAAATACTTCATACTGCATATTGGCAGTCAAAAACACAACGCGGCTCTACTTCTCTAGTCAAATGATGTGTAATATTTTCCTCGATCTTTTATAATCAATGGCGTAAACATCCTTTAAGGATCTGTAAACATTCATAAAGAAATGAAATGAAATACCTAAAATCACTAAACTTTAGTTTTATGTGGGAAGCCTGTTAGGTTAATAGTTCTTATTGCTGAAGAACGCAATGTTCAAAGCAGAACAAACCAGAAACAACAGTCCTGATCGCCGGAGTTCAGAAGGTGGAAGTGAACTGCAGAAAACTACGGCCGGAGGATGACGCCACAGTCACAGAAGTCGAAAGTGCGCTAGAGAAACAATAGGTCGGGAAATGACGTAACAATTTCGTGGAGCGTGATTATGGCGGTCAAGTCGAACACGGTGGTTTTCTCTGTGTTCGCTAACCGCTAGTGACATAAATTGGCAAAATCACGGCGGAATCCGTAACGGTTAATAGGGTATCTTTGTAAACTGCTAATTCAAATCGTTGAGATTTTGATTTGAAGGAAGAAGAGGGAAATTTGGGCTGTGGGAGAGACGAAGACGAGAAAATCCCGCTTTATGACGAGCGCGTATATTTTGGCTATAGAAATGCTGCGGATTACGTTCCGTACGCATTTTGAATTTCAAAACATGTACTCGTCACGCAATTTGGCAGGTATTTTATTACTCCGACTTATCATCAGAGACTACTCGTATTATTTTAGAATTGGAATTTCATTTTAGATTTGGGAAGGATAAGGGTCAGTTTGATCCTCGAAGTTGCAAAAAAGGAGTCAAATAAGTCCTTATATAGAAGATTATGTCTGGAAGTGCCATTTGAGATGGCTCCCAGTGAAATTTTTTGATGAAATTTTTTGAGCATCTTATTCATTAAGTCTAGTTTACTCATATCAAATTTTAGATAAAAATTCAATCGGGAAGACATTTAAATGAAATCTTGAAGATAATTGTACCGTTAAAAGCGCAGTTATCTTCAAGAATTCATTTGAATGTCTTCCCGATTGAATTTTTAGCTGAAATTTGGTATGAGTAAACTAGACTTAATGAATAAGATGCTCAATAAATTTTATCAAAAAATTCCACTGGGAGCCACCTCAAATGGCACGTCCGGACAGAATCTTCCATATAAGGACTTATTTGACACCTTTTTTGCAATTTCGAGGACCAAAGTGACCCTTTACTCCTTTTAGATTTTGTACTAACGATTACTTTAGTATTTGACTCTACACTTCGTGTTAAATCAAAATCAAACTATGGGCCGGGTACTAAGAGCATTTGGACAATCAACTATTCTACACTATCTTTACTTGTGATTCATTCAACTAAAAGTCCTAATATAGTTGTTAGTTACAGTTTATTTCTCTTGATTTAAAGCATGTTTGGTATCATTCAAATCGACTGTATTGGCTGATTCTACTGAAATTTACGAAACTCTGGATGAAGCGAATGAATTGACTGATTATACTGATTTGCGAAAAAATTATATTTAAAATATAATACGTAATTTATTAATAAAATAAAGAAAAAAAGGCTAAAATAATCATGTACCCTAACTTCAACCAATATAGCTAGAAAAGTAACCATAATCTTACTTTTTCGTATGAATACATAATTCATCGCACGAAATCAAAAGTTATGTGTTTGATGAAAAAGTTGACAGATAAGTTTGATAAACCGAAAAAAAGGTTACTAATTACCTTTTCTTTTTTTACTTTTTATCTTCTCTTCTCTACTTTTTCACATTCTCTCCTACTTTTTCTATACTATTCATTAGCCCTACTATTCCCCCCTTAAATCTTGTGCCAAGACCTAATGTAGGGATCGTTTAAATATAGAGGGAGTATGTTATAATCTTAGTAGGACGGATTGAAAAGAAAAGATGTGACAACCTTAAGGATTATTAGTGGTTCATTACCTCTACTATTCCCCCCTTAAATTTTGTGCAAAGACCTAATGTAGGGATCATTTAAATACAGAGAGAATATGTGATAATCTTAGTAGGACGGATTGGAAAGGAAAGATGTGATTACCTAAAGGATTATTAGTGGGAAGGTGTGAGTAAAAGTCTAATGAAATGTCCCCCAAAATCAAACATTAGAGTTGGCTAAAGTTCAAGCGTAATCAAAGCAAACATTGAGGTCATCATTCAATTATAGTTATATATTATTTAAAAAAAATTATTGCAAGTTCCAAGATACAAACCGGATGAGAATGAATTGTCAATATCGAGCCTAATATGGAGATAATTTTGATTCAACCATTATTGTTGTACCCACCTTATACTCACCCTTATATTCATCCATGTATTATGTTGTCCGTGCAAATTTCTACCAACGGTATAAGGGTGAGTACAAATATGGTTTTTCATTTTGATTGAGAATAATTCTGGTGCCACTATCGAGTTTTTGCATGTGCTTGTATTAGTCTCGGATCAAACCGGGGAGCACTATAAGTGTTCAAAGTTGAAATCAGATGTCATGCCTCATCTACCAAATAGGGCATATGAGACTTGCAAAATCTCGACATATATAAATGGCCAACTCGAGTAGTAGCTTTTCAAAGCCATCTAGTCTAGGCGTAATAGATAAATGTCATTAGACCCCCGAAGGCTTAAAGATGTAATATTCTGTTAAAATGTTGAAAATGAGAAAATGTATTCTCAATTAACCAAGCCCTACAAGAAAGTTTGCCTACAATGAGGGGAAATACCATGGTTAAAAGTACATATCCCATTATAGAAGACATTTTGTGATGGGAAAGAGTCTGTCATGGCCTCTCACTGTTGCTTCCACAGTTAAAAGTTTTTAATGACAGGAAAGTAGTCCACCCATTAATAAGCTATAATTCCGCCACTTTTAGAAACCGCTTTTAGTTAAAATAAATCCTCTCAATAATACCACCACTTCCCTCTCATTACTAAATAACACAATTTTCACACATTTCACAATATATAATTGTATTTGTTGCAGATGAATTAAAATTTAATATTTTTTATCATTAAATAGTATTTGATCATCATCGTTGATTTTAAGTAGTAATTAGAATTGTAGCAACTTTTTATAGGTTTAATGAAATAAAAGCTCAATATAACAAAGTATATTCTGATTAAACATAAAATACACAAAGTCTGTGCACATAGACATAGGTAGAAAAACGGGATCCATATGTTCATTACATATCTACAAATTAAAGAAAACAAAGTTGCATCTGTTCTCCCACTTCTGATTTGAAGCAACCTGCAAATGTAAAAAAAGAGAATCAATTTTAACATATCAATGTGCGAAAAAGCCTTCACCTAAACTAAGGACACAAAAATTCAACAAAGCATATGTGCATGCCAACCCTCATCCGAGTGAGTTTCAAGTCCTAAAGCCTTAGCACATGAATTTCTCAAGATTTAAACCAAGGCATTTTCCTTTACAAACAGGACCGGCTTTAGAGGTTCAAAATACTTAAACTTTATTGGGATAACTATCAAATAAGCCCCCGTACTATGTCGAAAAAGTCGATTAGGCCCTCGTACTTTACAAACACTCAATTAAGTCCTCGAACTATTAGAAAAAGTTCAATTAAGCCCTTTTGGTCGGTAAGTAACCGGTTTCCCGGTTTAATGTAACCCGTTTCCCGGCAACCGCCGTTGCTGGGGTTCGAGCACATCGTCGCCGTCGTCGCCGTTTAACCGGGAAACCGGTTACTTACTGACCAAAAGGGTTTAATTGAACGTTTTTTAATAGTTCGAGGACTTAATTGAGTGTTTGTAAAGTACGAGGGCCTAATCGACTTTTTCGACATAGTACGGGGGTTTATTTGATAGTTTTCCCAACTTTATTTGGGGCCTCTTACTTTTGGCTTATCAATTTTGTTAGCTAGGTTTTTCATCAAACACAATATCTGAAACATGCTGAATTTAATAATAATCAAGATAAATAAGATTGAAGTTATTTTTCTGGTTGAATTGATTGAGGTTACTGTTGATGATCATTTTTGTTATTTTACATATAATCATTTCTTTATTTCATTAATAAAATATATTTAGAATATAACTTTTCCATAATTTGATGAATTTAGTCAATTCGGCACTTCAGCCAGAACTTTATCCATTCCACCGAATCAGCATTTTTGGTGTCACTAAACAATCTCGATCTTAATATTCGGAAGTCGTATTACTGTGATTTCTATAGCACAAAAATCATAAAAATTGACGAGATAAATTGAATAAAAACCCAACATATGAAAAATAAAGGATATTCATAGTGCACCGTATAATATAAATGTTTAAAGAGCGCAGTCAAATTTCTATTGACCGTCGGGGTAATACCTATATGTTTATACCGTAGTAGATGATAGGGAAATCACAAATAAAATTGTCAATAGAAAGCTAAAATTCATCATAACAAATTTCAGGGACAATCTTAAAAATACTACGTAACTATTTATCACTTTAATATTTCTACTGCTAGACAATTAACTAAATCTAGTTAGGTATTTATCAAGTTAGTGAAGTTATGAATACAAACCAAGCAAATGAGCAATATTAAGTACAGAGTACTTGGTATTCATATTTCATTAATCACAAATCTGAGTGTCAAAAACTCATACGAGTAATTTTTACAGTATTGGTTTTATTTAAGATAAATTCTACGATACCCATAAGGTACATACATTTGTCCACATGGACCAATCAGAATGTTGCAGTTGAATTATTTAAATCTAAATTAAAAATGATATACCTATTTGGACCAATAAAATGAATTGTAGGTACCGTACCCCATTTTTTTAAACTCAAATAGTCAGTTGCCAAAAAAAACTCAAAGAGTCAAGTTGGTTCCGGAACCCATTACTCCTTAATACCATAAGTCAGCTAAACTTCTCTACAGATAATAAGCAATCAAAACGGCAAAAGTGCACCTCTCCAAGCAGTTGCGGCGCCGTGCGGAAAGGCTTGTACAAAATTTGGAAAGACGTTTCGGTGCGCGAGAAGATCAGAGCTTTAATGCTATTCCCTAACTTTTTTGAGGCCCTCTTGGAGCGTGAGGCCCTAGGCAAATGCCTGGGTCAACTGCCCATATAGCCGGCTCGGTTTACAAACTAGTATATTACTCATGCGATGCACAAGATTATTCTACTACTTAAATGTATTTATATTTATATGAATATTAAAAATTAAAGTAATTCTAATTGACCATCCTTACACAAAAAAGGACATTTTTAATGATTTTAAAATTAATTTTATATTGCACGAATATACATACACATGCATATATTGTGTGTATTCAAATACTATCGTAACTTTTAGTGTTTACCTCACGCTCATCTCTCATAATATTTCAAGAGTTATAGATCTATGGTTAGGTGGCTTTCGTTATTTTAGTTTTGATCATTGTAAGGATGTTATAGATGTTTTTTTAACAAACCTACCAACAATCCTAGCCAAATCCGATATAACCCTTTTATCTTTTCTGCCAAATAGATCATTATTCTACAATTTTTTAATCTTAGCCCTGTAGAGTTATCTAACCATAGACACCATAGACGCTTGAGTGGGTCTATGGTTATAAGATGGTGGGTATAAGATGAGTATAAGAGTGGGTACATCAAACATTATTGATTAGTATTAGTA